CCCTATCACGAATATCCTCATTACGAATATCTTCATTTCGGATTCTATCTCTTCTTGTGTGCCCGCAAAACCAACGCAACATCCGCATCTCTGCTACACTTAGTTGTTGGACATGTTGCCTTTTTGTAGGTCAACATTCAGCACCGTATAGCATCGCCAGGCGAATCGCCGTCCTATAGAACTTACCTTTTAGCTTTTGTGGCACCCTATTATCACAGAGAACGCCCGAAGCTTGACGGCATTTCAACCAACCGGCTGCAATTCTATGCCTAACATCTTCATCAATGTCGCCATCCTTTTGAAGCATCGATCCTAAATACTGGAAAATCTCCTTCTTGACCACCACTTGCCCGTCAAGGCTAACATCACCATCATCATGAGTAGCCATGCTGAAAGCGCACGTCATGTACTCGGTCTTCGTCCTACTAAGTCTGAAGCCTTTCGACTCTAACGTGTCCTTCCACAGCTCTAACTTCCTATTTACCCCGGCCCTACTCTCGTCAACTAGCACCACATCATCAGCAAAGAACATACACCAAGGGAGATCACCTTGTATGTCCCTTGTGGCCTCATCCATCACCAAGGCAAATAAATAAGGGCTCAATGCTGACCCCTGGTGTAGTCCTATTTTAATTGGGAAGTCGCTGGTATCGCCCCCACATGTTCGAACACACTTCATCGCATTCTTGTACATATCCTTGATGAGGGTAATGTACTTAGATGGGACTTTGTGCTTTTCTAAGGCCCACCACATGACATTCCTCGGTACTCTGTCATAAGCCTTCTCAAGGTCGATAAAGACCATGTGCAAGTCCTTCTTTTGGTCCCTATATCTCTCCATCAACTGTCGTATTAGGAAAATCGCCTCCATGGTCGACCTTCCAGGCATAAACCCAAATTGGTTTTGGGTCACACTCGTCGTAGGCGATGCTCGATAACCCTTTCCCAGAGCTTCATCGAATGGCTCATCAACTTAATCCTACGGTAGTTACCACAGCTTTGAACATCACCCTTGTTCTTGAAGATCGGTACTAAAGTACTTCTCCTCCATTCATCAGGCATCTTGTTTGACCGAAATATGAGGTTAAAAAGCTTAGTTAACCATACTAACGCTCTGGCGCCCAAACATCGCCCAAACAACTAACGAAGTGTGATGACATTTTATCTGATATTCTTTATAGCTTTAGTGAGAGTGTGAAGCAAACTAAAAAGAACAGCAAAACCAATCTAATAGCCGACACGAACCAAAACGTGCCCAAACAAAAAATTATGGATATCCAACTGCTAGCACATGATAATTATGGGTGGATGCTGAATACAGTCAGTAGAGAACACATGTATACAAAAGCTGTAAGAATGGTAACCACAAAACAACATGGATAGAACATGGATATAATTAAGGAACAGGTAGCACAAGCATCAGATCACGTGAAAAAACAGGATCATGGACTCAAAATAGATACAGCCCCTGTGCAACAATCTTTTAGAACAGATCAAAAAGCCAGAGCCGCTTTAAGAAATTAAAAGTATGCGTAACAATTGCCGCTGATTTTCAATCATGTCTCATGGTTTTTGCTACAGTGTCTCTAGAATTGCCTCTTGATTATGAGAGCCCAACAACACGGAAGTTTTGTAATAAATCACAAGCAACACACGAAAAAAGAACAACATAGTTGATGCGAAACTTATTTTAAGCCCCTGCAAAGTTAGTCAATTTCATAAAAAAGCTTAAAGTTCCAAATGATGAAACCGTACATGTGGCAGCAAGTATGCATCAACTTGGCAGAAATCAAAACATGTCAGATCCTAATACTCCCATAAAGTTTACCAATCATGAGAATCTGAAATAACCAGAAAGAGCGAAGTGCAGATTATATCGTCTACCAAGCAATAATTTACCTTTATTGCACTATCTTGTTGGACTCTCTCTTCTTCACTCTGTGAAAGCAAAAATTGTCACATAAATGAGGGGCTCAGAAAAAGTAAAATAACCATCGTGGGAACTCAACATTTTGGTTGCTTTTACAAGAAAACAATCCAACTTGAACAAAGATCAGAAGTTGGAATAATATCTCGTGAGTAGATACAGTCTAATACTCAAAAACTTCACCACAGGCAAAAATGTATGAGCGGGAACTCTAATGATTGCAAATCCATATCAAGGTTCTGTACGAAATTTTTTTCGGCACTCGACAGCTGTGTCATCAGAATGAGTGATTTCAAACACAAAACAAATGCCGGCAACCAAAGTTTCAACAGAAAAAAATTACCTGTGAAGTCAAGGGATACAGAAACAGCACTGCAAGCACTGGCTTCGGAACCATTTCCAATAATTCGTCGTCAAACCCATAAACATCACAGCATTCTGCCTCATCCGGTGCAACCCCAAGTCCCCAAATAAACTGCCCATCACAAGAAAATGACCTTAAAATAAACAATTAATAAAGCCCCACTTCTTTTCTTCTTCTATTTTCCCGTTCTTCAGCTTTCATAAAAGTTCGTCGTTCTCGTGGTATTCAGTACAAAAACTAATAAATCCTTCAACAGTTCAATTTTGATGAACAATACAATCCAACAGTGCAAAGAAAACTCACAAAACATCTCGAAAGCCAAAAGATTATCAGGACATAAGCAATTGATTGGACGCGAAAAAACAACAGGAAGCACCTGGTTCATAACATCGGGGTTAGCTTCAAGAGGAAGCCATTTCTTGCTAGAAGGGCTGCTCGCCATTTCTCGTCTCTTTTTAGGTTTTGATGCGGTTTTTTTTTTCTTCCTTGGGTTTTGGGTTTTGGGTTTTGGGAGAGATTCTTCTGTATTCCTTCCTTTCAGGCCAAAGTTAAAATTTTGCGTGGATCGAAATCACGTATATCTTTGGGGCAATCTTGAAAATAAAAATCTTAAATTTTTTTGTAGTACTATTTAACATGCATATACCAAAATTTTATGGAGCAATCGGGTGATTTTCTTATAGAGTCATCCACCATTTCATGTGTTGACACCTGTTTAAATTGTATTTATTGTAGGACACGTGTCAATATACTATTAGTCGAGTTATCTGATAGCTCCATAGCAAAACTGTATGCATATAACTATTCTTATTCACTAATTAATAATTATGAATTACATAACATAGTAGCATTATAAACACACAACCACATTCCTACATTCATTTAAGTACATATATGGGACCCACATAATCTACTCATTCAATACAAATTTTAATATTGTATTCTCAACCAAAATAAAATTTTAATATTTTTAAATTATAAAAATAAATTTTAATTTCGTGAAAATAAAAAAAAACACTTAAATTAGATAAAATTTGAATTTATCTATATTGGAACTAGTACGAATCCGTGTGATGCACGGGTAAGAGATACTCATTAATATTTTTAACTTAAAATTTCAATGGTACATGAAATTTAAATTGTGCAAAATCGCATTGAACATGTCTATTAAAAATTAGTACACTACTCGTACGGTTCATGTGTTTGATAATAAATTATATTATATTCATTTTAAAATAAGTGACCTTTTTAAATTCTTATTCAGAAATGCGATTTGATTACAATGTAATTCTATAAAATAACTATTTTGGTAAAAAAATTATCATGTTTTTAAAAATCTTTATAATATTAAGTATAATAAACTTATAATGTTCCATTAATTAAAATAAATTTACTTTTGTATAACCTATTCAAATAAAAAAAATGTAAGTAGGTGAGTAATTTATTAAACAATAAATAATTTATTATTCTATTTACGTCTAAGTTAATATTGTCCTATAAGTTATGAATAATTACTTATTTGACTTTAAAGTTTGGAACTCAAATTTGGATTATAAAATAAATTCACATATATATATTTCATGTACACACACACACACACACACATATATATATATTATCTCCTAATTTTTTATATTTGTTGTCGATTACCTTATTTTTCAAATTTATCAACTAATTCTCTATAATTAAATTACAAATTTTTAATTTTATTAACCCATACTTGTTCAAATATATTTCTGATTTTTAAGAAGAGTACGTACCAAGT